ACTAGACTATTAAGTACGTGTGAAGGTAGGTGTGAAGTAACACTGATTTAGTATTACATTATGAAAATACAGAAAGACGAAAAAAATTTGGTATTTTTATCTTTTTTATGTTTGAAATTCTAAATTTCATTGTAAATGGTTATAAAATCATAAAATGCGAAAATGCGAAAGAAACAAAAACGGATGAGGTAAAATAAGCATCAAAAGAAGTAAAAGAAATGTTCTTCTGTGTGGCACGTTGCAATCGGTATGTGGAGATATAGCCCAAGGAGGTTTGATGTAAGGCAGGCGATTTGTCGTGAAAACCCATGCCAAATGCCTGTGCAGCATGATAAAAGACCGATACATGATATAACTGGTGGTAGGACCTCTTGTGAGTCCACGCGGGTTTTTTTAATTTTTTTATTGCTTAAATGAGTGGACGAGCTCACAGCCCACCTGGTGTTAAGTGGTTACTGGAGCCCATAGACATCTACAACGTAAATGCGCCACCCACCTTGAGATATAAGTTCTAAGGTCTCAATTACAGTTACAACGGCTGCCCCACCCTTGAAACCGAAACGCATCACTGTTTCACGGCAGAAATAGGCAGGGTGGTGGTACCTACCCGTGCGGACTCACAAGAGGTCCTATCACCACTAGTTATGCGAGATCTTATTGTAAAGGCACTCGTCCACACAGCCCCATAAAACACTTCCTCACGTATTCGAGCTATCGTCTCAATGTCTAGGCGGGTGAACTACAAACGATTGAGCTGGTTTTTTTCTACCTATTCGCTGGTAGCTATTCCAGCGATACCCAGACGTGTAGGTGAGCTAACGAGCTCAACCTGAGAGAAAGAGAGAGAGCGAATTTGCTAACACCAGCTCTAGCAAGAAGCAGTGCAGAATTGGAAGCACGACCCACTAAGATCGCGCGAGAAACTCGGTGGGTTGTGTCTATGGATCCACACATGCACATTTGCAAATCGGTGCTTCTTCAGTTCCTCTTCTTCTTGCCTTTATCCCACGTTATGTAGGGTCAGAAAAGCATGACGCAATAATGTGTTTCGTTTTGAAAGATGGAACAGCTTATCAGCTTACGTAATCACTAACTCTAGGTGCGTCGTGGGCACGTCAACCCATCTATGCAATAAAAGAAAACAAAAACCGATAAATTACTACCCGTAAATAGATTTAAATACCACCAAGAAATGTTTATGCAGTAAACCTTAAAAAGTTTTTTATGCGTAATTGTAAGGTGATAAGTATATGATCCGCTTGATGGTCAGTCATACCCGATCCTGTAGATCGAATGGTAAACAGTTGACGTTGCCCTAAACATGTAATTACGGATCCTCCCGATCCATTAACAGTGCTTTTAGGTACCACTAGCGCCGTTCACCGTCCTCACCGAACCTGTCGCTTGCGACGAAAGGCTCGACAAGTAAATTAACACATAGACACAGCCCACTGAGTTTCTCGCCGGATCTTCTCAGTGGGACGCGTTTCCGATCCGGTGGTAGATTCTGCGAAGCACGGCTCTTGCTAGGGCCAGTGTTAGCAACACACCCGGTTTGTGCCCTGTGAGCTCACCTTTACGTCAAGGAGAAGCTGATATAGCCTCTCTAGGCTGTCAGCATAGGTAGGAAAAAAAGGTCAGTAGTCACACTCGCTCATGGATATCAGCAATGACAGGGACATCGCTAAGCCGCTGCCAATCATTGATGACACTTATGACAAATGTCCATTCTATTTATGAATTGATTTATTTTTCTTATTTTCCCTTATTGATATTCCAATGCAGTTGAGACGTGTACTAGAAGTCTCAAATATGTTCACGGTACAAAACCCACAGTGAACTCGTATAGATAGCTGATTTGCAACAGTGCAGTAAAAACAAATATGTGTTAATAAATCGTGATTTAATTGTTTTGCTGTGAACTTATCGCGCACACAATAATGTACGTATGATTTATTGTTTTAAAGTTTATTTTTCATTTAGTTTTAAAACAATAAACATAAATATTGTGTGTGGTTTGACGATATCGTGGGACTTTCGGAAGTTAAATGACAGGGTAACAAATAGAAGAACACAACGCTTTTATATTTTGCTACATTGGAACTTCACCCGGAAAAATCTGGAGCAGGATTCTTAATACACAAGTCTTTGGAGGAGGCCTTTACCCAAACCGGGATTTCTTGTTAATTTATATTTATTTTAATACACGTACTTATACTAATAACATAATTTAAGCTAACTTGCTAAGAAAAATCATATTAGTTGTTTAATGTAATATTATAATCCACCTAAGATTGTAAAACAAGAAATAAAAAAGGCTTATTATTATTATTATTATTGTGTGTGGTTTATTAGTTACAAATAAAATGTGGATTCACTGTCGTCACCCGGGAACCCGACGCGGATCTCTTTCAATAAATATCTATATATTAATACGTGAAGCAAAAACTTTGTACCCTTTTTACGAAAATTGCGCGGACGGCGGAGTATGAAATTTCTCACACTTATAGGGAATATAGAGAAGGAGTGCACAATGCTAATATTTTTCTAAAATAATGCATAAAAGATACTTTAAATCGATAAAGAAAACAACACAACACATACATAAAAGTATACTCTTTGTTTACTGTCAATTGGGAAACTTTTGTTATTGTTTAAAGTCCGTGGTCGAATCGAAAATAGATTAATATTGTTTGTCTTTAATATTATTGATCTATAGTGCAGTTTTGGCGAATACTGTAACTATATTATCGAAATATAATAGTGTTTGACAATAGAACCATAATAATGTTTAACCTTATAATTTCAATTAATTATAGTCGAATCTCGACTACTGCGGGGCCACTAGTTTAAGGAAGTTTACGACATATTGTTTTTTTTTCTGGTTGACAGTAGTCAGCGCACAAAATGCATATTTGTTCACAGCCAGCATGATCGACGGGAAATTTTAAGTACTGGTCATTAATAGTAGATTAATGGTTTTTCTTAAACTGCAAATAGTCTTATTAGTTTGAAAGTCGGAAGTTGTAAAAATTGGTAATTGAAAGTCGGAAGTTATGTATCGGTTTAAGATGGTCCGTTTGAATCGACCGCGGAAAATTCAATTAAGATTTAAGAAATACATAGATACGCAGTGTTTGTCTCTGTATTTTTTATAAGGCACAATATCACGTGTTTCGTACAAATGAATCTTGAATGAACTTTTGAAGTCGTCGTGGCCTAAAGGATAAGACATCCGGTGCATTCGTGTCGATCGATGCACCGGTGTTCGAATCCCGCAGGCGGGTACCAATTTTTCTAATGAAATACGTATTCAACAAATGTTCACGATTGACTTCCACGGTGAAGGAATAACATCGTACAATAAAAATCAAACCCGCAAAATTATAATTTGCGTAATTACTGGTGGTAGGTCCTCTTGTGAGTCCGCACGGGTAGGTACCACCGCCCCGCCTATTTCTGCCGTGAAGCAGTAATGCGATTCGGTGTGAAGCCGTTGTGACTATACTGAGAGCTTAGTCGGTCGGTTTAGTCGGTCGTCGTGACCTAACGGATAAGACGTCCGGTGCATTCGTGTTGAAGCGATGCACCGGTGTTCGAATCCCGCAGGCGGGTACCAATTTTTCAAATGAAATACGTACTCAACAGATGTTCACGATTGACTTCCACGGTGAAGGAATAACATCGTGTAATAAAAATCAAACCCGCAAAATTATAATTTGCGTAATTACTGGTGGTAGGACCTCTTGTGAGTCCGCGCGGGTGGGTACCACCACCCTGTCTATTTCTGCCGTGAAGCAGTAATGCGTTTCGGTTTGAAGGATGGGGCAGCCGTCATTACTATAAATGAGACCTTAGAACTTGTATCTCAAGGTGGGTGGCGCATTTACGTTGTGGATGTCTATGGGCTGCAGTCACCACTTAACACCAGGTGGGCTGTGAGCTCGTCCACCCATCTAAGCAATAAAAAAAAAAAAAGAACTATATCTCAAGGTGTGTGGCGCATTTACGTTGTACATGTCTATGGGCTCCAGTAACTACTTAACATCAGGTGGGCTGTGAGCTCGTCCACACATCTAAGCAATAAAAAAAAATCGAATTTATCTGGCTCCATTGTTATATTTTTTTCAATCATCAAACTACTTTTCTTTTAACACAAAACGATCCGGTTTGGAACGTTTAAAATTGTAATTTACAGAGTATCAAATTTCTATAACACATATGCACCTTTACTACATAACATCTATCAACAGCATTTTTTTGTGGTTTACATAACATTAATTAGTGGTTCCTTTATATTAAAATTTAATTTTCCTTGAACGTTCTAAACAGACTACTTCCATACACACTTATAGTATTCGATAGTGCGTTGTAGGTACATCGTCAATAAGGACAATTCATTTGACCACTTTCAATTGTTAGGTAACTGATGTACTGACTTTTCAATCGATTTAAATCGAGTTATTCAGTATCGATAGTCCATAAATATTGAATGCGATGTTTTTATTATAATCAAGTTGCGTCGACCCTAAAGTTTACGATCGCAACTTAGTTTGGAAATACAGTTAATTAAATCTTACTAAATGTACTTTTAATTGCTTTTGCTCACTTGAATTTACTTATAGAATATTTATATAATCGTTTGCATATTACAATCTTCATGCTTTTCATTTCAACAACACCGATGCAATGCACGTGGTATTTAATTTGTGTACTCAATTTTTTTATGGTATTCACAGAATAAACACAAAGTTATTGCAAAAAACAACATTCTTCAATTGTTGATTGTTAAAATGCTACGCATTCATCATTCAACAAATTGATTTTTTATTTGACATTTAAATAACAGGCAACCGGTATGAAAAATTAATTGGATTTCGCGTATCGATCGTAATTTATTTCTAGTCTATGAAACGTTAGATTCTAGAGTTTAAGCATTGTGTACCTAAATCTAATAAAGAGCATATCGATTAAAATCGATTTATAAGTGAAAAACTCACCTCAATACAACATTCCAAATACGAAACGATTAAAAAAAAACAATAATTGATAGTTAAACACTTGACGTAACACTGGCACAGGTTATTAATATTTAAAAAAAAACGATCACAAGGCACAGGGTTTATGATTAATATAGTTATAATTAGCACGAAATAAATTCACAGCGGGTGGTGGCCGGTTTACTCTGGAGTTGTGTGGACACGTGCGTCCCTCACAAACGGCGGGGCTCAACAGTAGTATAATCTGTGCGTGGTGAGCACACTGTTCACAGCTGTTCGCTGGACACAGGTTTAGGGCTGCCATTGTTCATGAATAATAACTATTAAATAGTATGTAATAATAACACGAATGTAACTATACTGAGACCTTAAAACTCATATCTTAAGGTGGGTGGCGGCATTTACGTTGTAGATGTCTATTGTATATTTTATTGCTTTGTGGACGAGCTAACAGCCCACCTGGTGTTAAGTGGTTACTGGAGCCCATGGACATCTACGACGTAAATGCGCCACCCACCTTGAGATATAAGTTCTAAGGTCTCAAGTATAGTTACAACAGCTGCCCCACACTTCAAACCGAAACGCATTACTGCTTCACGGCAAAATAGGCAGGGTAGTGATACCTACCCGCGCGGACTCACAAGAGGTCCTACCCCCAGTAATATTTTAAAATCAATATTAATTCAATGTATTTCAAATATTAGTGGTACTAAATCCTAATTGCACCCTTGTTTGTCTCTGGCCTAAACTCAGAAATTAATTTATTTTTTGTTTTATTCTTTTGTTGAATAATTTATTGCATACTATAAGTTATTTTAAGATATAATTTGTAAGTTTCATGTCTCGGGGTGGGGGTTCCGATGTCTATGGCCACTTAGCACCAAAGCCCAGAGTTAAAATCGTCATTAAATTAAAAATAATAATCACCACAGCCAACTTTATAAGTAGCATCATAATTTGATTTATTAAAATGCCTACCGGTTCGAATTCTATCGAAATCATTTTTGCCTGATGTATACGTCAAAGGCAATTCTTGTATTTGATTGAATTACAATGTTATGCATGTTATATCGGCAAGATTATATTATTATTAACGATAACGATTACTATTGAAAGAAATTGATTTTTTTAAATGTAAAAATATGATTGACGATTATTACAATTACAATAAGGAACACGTGGACTGGTGTATTCCATAAAATATCATTAATGTGGTTGTCTTGCACGCAATGTAAAACAATTTAATTTCACCGCTAGCTACCTTTGCTATACATTACGGGTTCACAGAACATTGGAGAGTCTTACGATCTATATCGCATGGCGCATATTAGCTGTGACGTCATGATATACTGCACACATCCTTTAGAAACAAAGCACTGTAGTTTAATTATGTAACTTAAAAACGATTATTAAGAACGGATTTTATGTCTGTTTGTTGAGTGTCCTTGTTTACCTTGATAGATAGTTTCGGAGTTTTTAATATTGATTAATTTAGCAATATTGATTTTTCAGTTATCCTCGCATTGATGCCTTCTTGCTCATCTCTAGCGCGAATCAATAATGCATCTCGCTCTAACAGACAGGAATGTAAATATTGCATTTTCGACCTTAAGTTTTAAGACGGACAGCGGTGTTGATGTAGTAGTCTTGACATAGTATACACATAAAAACAAGTCTTTTAAATCTTACCGGAACTACGAATTCTCTTTGCCTAAGACTCGGGGAGGTCCGAAAGATGGATTTTGAGACGTGATTCTACTCAAAAACGAAGAAGACCAGAGCTGATTGTCTATATACTGCTGCAGCGAAGTGGTACCGCTAGCACATATCAGTCTACCAGAAGGTACGGTAGTATGGCAGAGCTCAACGTTCATTTTAACGTTCTCGATAGCGTAAGAGTTAACTCATATTTGTATGGAATTAGAACGTTTGCCTACGTTTGCCGCTAGGGGCGCTGTTCCAACCGCATACAAATATGAGTTAACTTTTACGCTATCGAGAACGTTAAAAAACTCGCACTAAGCACACTGAGCAGTGAGAAAACGATTCTAAAAGACACCGAATACCGCTATGGCGACTGTTGCGCGTGGTACGTACAATTTTTATTACTGGCATTACCTACAAGCAATTACGCAGGTATTTGGGTCAGTGAAGCACGCGTTCGAAGCGTGCATTTTACTTAACATATTTCATGTTAATGACAATGCGGTTGTAGCGGGAGTGGGTGGACAGAATTCATGCTTTTTTGTAGACAATGTTTGTAGATAATATGGCGTGGTATTTAGGTCCACAAAGACTGCTTGTATTCCGGTTTGCAGGGTACCACCACCTTGTATTTCGGTTTGCAGGGTAACCACTTAACACCAAGTGGACTGTGTGCTCGTCCACCCAAACAAGCAATAAAAAAAGATCTACGGCCGATTTTCTACCGTATAAAGCGTGATTGCACTTGCCCACCCGCTTGCATGATGTACTTCGTAATATTTCCTATTTAGATCAGCAACAATACCTGATGGTATGCGGTTACCGTCGCTCATGGAGGTCAGCAATCCCAGAGGTACAGCCAAGCCTCTGAGTACTCTCCACAAGCCATCGTTTGAAGAAGGCCAACTCTTCACACGTATACACACGCGTCATGTGTGATTTTAAGAAAGTGTTCTACGTACGTGACTTGTAATGAAAAAGTAAAAAAAACAAAGTTACGTGTTTTTTTCACACGGAGCGCGTGATAAGCGATGAGGTTTTTATACAGTACGTACGTCGAACCAAATATCATGTTTTAAATTTTAATATGATTTTATTGGAAACAATTAAAAAAAAACAGTGAAAACTAAAAAAAAAAACTTAGACTTCACTTCAAGTATTGCGTAGTCGTAAATATATCCATCAAACTAATAACTTTTTTTTATAGATGAAAAGCTTGGAGCCACTTGTTTTGCTATTCTAAATCTATTAAGAGAAAAAAAACATAAAAACCTCGGAGACCTCAAAAAAACTAAAATTATTTCTATGAAGTTATAACTCAAGATCATGCCGTTCGCGGTAACTTAGAAACGCCATTACGGTAATTATAGATTATCTTCAATGAGAATTCAATTATTTAAGGACATCGATGAGATCCAGTCACGAACGATACAACAGCGTGCCAACGGTCGCTCAGACTTAGTACCTGTCAATGTGACGCCATTCAATAGTCCTTGACTTCAAGATATCGAAGGCTCTTTGATTTATTGATATTTTGACTGATGGTAGGTAGGCCGCCTTGTGACTCCGCGCGGGTAAGTACCACCACCTGCCTTGTTCTGCCGTGAAGCAGTAATGCGTTTCGGTTTGAAAACTGGGGCAGCCGTTGTACTGTAAATACTGAAACCTTAGAACTTATATTTCAAGGTAGGTGACGGCACTTACGTTGTAGATGTCTATGGTGTTCGGTAATCACAAAACATTAGGTAGGCCTTAAGCTCATCCACCCACAAAAGCAACAGAAAAAAAGGTATTTAAATTCAAAATATTAAAATCTAAATGTCATAATTTTGTATAACACTATTAGCTTTTTGCGACAATGACGAGCTCAAATCTCGCTTGATTGTACCACATTCTTTAGTAAAGACATATCGTATTCAGATCCACGAGAACGACTGTCATGATGGAGGAATGGCTGTAACATAAACGAGATTTGACACCCCAATTCATCCTAGCACTTCTACACAAAATGCTTCACCAAACCAAAGCACGAATGTGGAGATTCTCTTGTCTTAATATAAACTCGGATTAATAGAGCGATATTTGGGTTAAGTTTTAGATATGCGACAAGAACTATATTCGTTTTAACATCTGGCCGACATAACTCTGAATGCAAAAGGGAAGTCGCTTATGACGCATCTCGCGGCTTTAATCTTGCAAGAGATGCAGGATTCTTAAATGGTTAAATTTATTTATTTACTTATTTATTGCACTTCATGTAAAATTTACATTGGCGGGTTTAATGCCTAAGGCATTCTCTACCAGTCAACAAATGGTAGTGAGTGCAAAGTAAATAGTGGTAGGTGTAATGAAATTTATATTAAGTTACGAATACATATACAAAAAAGTATATATATACATATATACACAATCACATATACATATAATATTTCATTTAGTATTTATTTGAATGTACGGTCAGAGGGTTCAAGTTTTATATTTAGAGCATAGATGATATAGAATTTGCATGGCTTTAAATGTTATTATGATATTGGTGAAGTTTTTAATGATAACAATATGTAATTGATTAGATCTATTATTTTATGAATTCAATGGATGAATGTAATTAAATTCTTTATGACTATAATTTATGAATATTATAATATTATAAATTGACGTGTTTTTTTTATTGCCTTTGTAGGCAGACGAGCATACGGCCCACCTGATAGTAAGTGTTCACCGTCGCTCATGGATGTTAGCAATGCCGAGGGGCAGAGCCAAGCCGCTGCCTAGCAAACCTGTGTTAGTAACCTTAGATTCATTCTATGTTTATTTTATATTTGCACACTTTATAATCAAGTAAGAACATGCTAGAATGTTCAAATTTTATAACACCATCATTTATGTACCATGTCTCTGGCAAATAAATCATTTGAATTGAATTGAATTGAATTAAAAACGATTTACGGGTTTAAGACTCACTTCCTTAGATACGTGTTTGCTTTGTCGGATCTGTTAAGACTGATCTAATATTGACCGGCACGAGTTAATCGAGTGAATATTAGGCAACGAACACGTGTTAATTAATAATGATAATGTCAAAGTTGAACTTCTAGACACTTCGATCCATCGCGCTTCAAACGTAGTATCCGATTCCGAGGTACATATAATATTACAATTAGTTTAGGAAACCCATGTAATGAGGAAGTGTATTAGAACACGCCAGTGGAGTGTAAGGTTTCCTTCCCACTGTACAACTTACTAAAATAAATATGTATATATTTGCGGCCCAGCGAAATCAACAGGAAAAATATGACAAAGAACGCGTCTTATAACTCTAAATTGGATTATGTTACTTTATTGTTAAACACACCGAAACATGGATTATAGGATAACAATTAAAATGGCTTGCGTAATGTGAGTGTGAATACAATGTGCAGTATATATATATTATTACTATTCTGTGCAGAATATTCTACCAGGAATACCTTATAATCAGTTCTCAGTAGAGCCTCGCCTTAGCTAGATAC